TCTTTGCTTAATTGCTTGCTTGTTATAACTCATTCTAATGTATATTATTGGTTTTGTCGATACGGCACGTACGGGGAAGTCTAGATCCGGGGAATTTTCTCCCAATATTAATTGGTTTCCGTTAAGCTCGGCTGCGTTATGACTAATCATGTAGGAATGCTAGAATTGTAATGAACCTACTTGGAATTAGGGAGAAGGCCATCTAGAATGGTCTTTAGAGAGTGGCATTACACATGATGATTTGAATGTTGAAATTCCTAAATGTATGAGAGTGGATGAGATGAAATTTTAGGAGACCCAAACACCAACAACTATATTCATCATATCTTCCCATTGAAAGTGTTTATCTTCTGTCTTTTGCCATTGACAATCATCATACCTGTTTACTTTTTACGTCTTCATATGAAAATCCAATTATTTTCGGTTTGTAAGTCCTAGCTAATCAACAAAGCAATAACTAGTTTTAACTAGGCCGTGATCCTTTGGGAAGACGATACTTGGTCTTACCAAGTTTATTACTTGAACGATTCGGTCATACTTGCCGATGTGAAACAAGTTTGGACATCATATTTTGGTGATCATAAATTTGTCCATCACTCCTGCTCTGATACCACTAAGCACATCCCAAAAATACAGTAATAACTATATATTAGAATAATCACATTAATAACAATCTAGATCAGTCTTATACTAGAGTCGAGCTTACGCTCATGCGAACGGCCTTACAAAAGCGAGTTACAAAAATTCGAGATGTACAATGAGCAAACTGACCGAACGGTTTACACAAGCAGAAATACCGAACGTCATATCTGACAAAAGGAAAAGTGGTCGTACGAGAAAACACACTATACTAACTAAACTATACAGTTAACTGAACGTACTACTGTTGGCCTTTACTTCCACGTCAACGAGATTCTTCTTCCAGTGCATCCTTCAACAGCGCATCTCCATCTGCTCACATCCACACGGATGATCATTGCAATGACAAGACGGACGTACAAGGACGAGACAACACAAAGAAAAACACAGGGTAAGCTTATGTAATTTAGTTCATACATCAACATATAAGGTAAACATTCCAGCACACACAAGATTAATTCAACACTTATAACCATACGAAAAACTATCACTAGACTGACCGTCCGGACTGTATCAATCTGTGTAACTACAGGCGTTCGTGCACCCGGTGATGTATAACTGTATACCTCAACAGCTGCCACCCCGAGGTTAGCCCTATCAGTCCAAAGTATCCCTAAGCCTAGGACCTCCTGTCTTCCCACACATGACCTACCCTCCTCTACGTGAGGACAGTACTCACGGAACATCAGGATGAACTGCCATCAGTAGATAACCCCAGTATACTTTACCAATTCCAATATTCAATACATGAGTCGTTCCTCCCGGAACACTCGTTCAACTTCACATAATTTCAGTCATATCACATTCTCTTCTTTTTCATTCTATAATCATTCCCAATTCCATCTTATGTCAATAAATTAAATATCCTCTCTGTTCAAAGGTTTATAAAGACACCAAATACCGAACGTTCTATCCTCACTCAGAATGAGGACGAATGCATGGAACGAGACAGAGATTTCCATTTCCGAATAGACTAAGACCGAGAGATTTACTATCATTTTTGAGAGAAAAACGAACGTAATAGATATAGCGGGAACGAATGACCGAACTTTCTGCAATGGGAATTCAATTATATGAATTGACTCTGACCGAACGCTGAAAGACCTCACGAAAGGCTACGAATCTATGCTGGAACCAATCGTACCACACTTCAAGATATTCCATAATAAACTTAGAGGCATTCATATAATAAAACGAACGTTTATGAATGTTTAGCTTATTTGAATTTACCTCAAGAAATTCGAATGCCAGTCAATGACCGAACATGGTAAAGGAAAATATTACTGAAGTCGGACGAACGCTATTTTATCAAGATTGATTATACATTAGTACGAGCGCTTGGTATAAGACCGAGCACTACTCAGTACGAGCGCTAGGTATAAGACCGAGCACTACTTAGTACGAGCGCAGTGGTATAAGACCGAGCACTACTTAGTCTTCAAGTACGAGGGTATATATATATATATAGTATATATATATATATTACTTTATCTAGGGATATCCGGATACAACTATGCTTGGCCGAACGCTCAAACATAGTATTCCACACGAGGACGCTCGTCCTACACTAGGATTCTATCCAAATGAAAGAATCCCTTTTTAACTATGTTCACAGAAAACCGAACGGTCAATGACCGTTCAGTAACGACCGTACTCTATCATAGTAGAAATTTCATATTCAGATTTCATTTATTTCCAACTCAAATCTCAACTAATCATTTCATAACCTTATAACTTCACACCAAATATCAATTTACATACTTCATAAAATTCATATTAATAATTCATACTCTAAAACGATTACTCATATTCACATTCCTACACCTCATACATATCAACCATCATGCATCATACTCATACTGGATACATACATTCACTCATTCAGTAACATGCATTCATTTTCAGCAAGCATACAACAACATTCAATTAAATTAGATAAGCTTCCCTTACCTCTAGTGTGAACGTACGTCCTTTAGAGTAAAGCTCACTTCACGGAATTTAAGATTTCTTCTACTCTTAACGCTCAACCAAATTCTTCAAACTAAAACAAGTTACAGAACAAAGATTGATTCAGAAAAGGTGATTGCATGCAACCAGGGCTTGGTTTGCATGTTCATACGAACGAACAACTAGGGACGAGGAACTTACCCGTTTCAGAATCCATAACTGTTCGGTTTAAGATGAAGCTTGAGAAGCCGGAAATGCTTCCACGGTGCCTGAACGGTGATCGGAGTAGAGAATGGTAAGTTACAGAAGAGAGAAGGGAGGGTTTTCTAGAGAGAAGGAGGAGGAAGATGGAAGATCAGATTTTTGGAAAAAGAGTGCATGCAGAGGAGAGTGGAGTGTTTTTATGAAAATCCCAGTTTTGCTCCACAGTCGAGAACGAACGTCCCCTCTTCAGTAGACACCTGTTTTCCACTAACTGATTTCCGGGTCTCCTTCGCTTGACACCTGGCGTTCGTCATCTAAGTGTCAAACTCCCCTCTTGACACGTGAATTCCACTAACGACACGTGCTTGAATTTTACTGGTTCCTGACTTTTGATTTTTCAGGTTATGACAGTTTTCATTCTTTTAAAAGTTAAAAATTTGTCTTTGGTACCATTATGTAAAACTTAATAACAATTTATATGCTTAAAAGATCAATTGACCATTCTAAACAATGTTAACTTGTTCGATTCATACGAAAATATTCATTTCAAATTTGGAGTATTTAAAGTAAAACAAAAAATAGAAAGATGAATTGCAGATTTACTCATTTTATAGAAATTAAAATCCATAATTTTAAAGTTTAAAACAAAATCTTACTTTATAAACGATTACCAAATATTAAATAAAAAACGAGTGAAATTTCAGTTAAAAAGAAATTAACAACTTTCGAAAGGAAAATGGAAGAGAGTGGTCTTTACGATTCAGGCAAACATAATTTTTCCTCACTTAAAGGCAATCTATTTGTATGATGAAGTATAGATAAAGGTTCGTTTGCTATAAACATCTTACAAGCTGATCGACACCCGGTCAATTCAATATATTGTCCATTACATGTTATAAATCGCCCTAACAATATCTCAAACAATAATAAAAAAAATGCTGTAAACTAACTACATCATAATTTTCAAACAACATTACTTGGTTGGTAATATCATGTAGTAAAATAATGATCAAAACTCAAACCGCAATTTCCTTAGGCGTGTAGATCACTGTCCTTAAGGACTTATCCGCGGTGTATTGCGCAAGCCCCCCAGGAACTTCTCAGAATTTCTGAGGATCTCAGAATTAACAAGAAACTCTAAACAGAGTATATAAGAATAAACCCAGAATAATTTTAGAAGAGGAAAAGAAGAAAAGAAAAGAAGAGAAGACTGACTTGAGATGTTTTTGGAATGAGGAAAAAACTCTTTATTTATAGAGTTAGGAAAGAATAAAATCAATAAAAGCCATTAAATATTTTACTGTTGGAGCACTTAATAAAATGAAAAGGCAATTAAAGTTTTGAACGTTGCAATCCAATGTTTTTCTTTTGCAATAATCTAACATTATTACAACAATCTCCCACTTATTGCAAAAGAAAAAGACAAGAAACTTTTATTCTGGGTCTCATAGGATGTAATGCATCAGACCTGGTATAACAAGGTATATGAACCAGTCTTAGATTGAAATACTTAACACACAGTGTAGTTGGTATAGCAAGCTATATGAACCAAAAACACTTGACGTGTGTTAGAGGTTTATCAATCACAATACACCCCCACAATCCTTGCTGTTATCGCTGTGTTGCGCTTACTAGGCCATGCGCGTGCCCGGTATTCATGAGTGCTTTAGAGATCATGCCAAGATCTCATGCAAGCGGCCCCACTCGACACTCATATAGGTGATTTCATCAAGTGTATGCTGCAAATCATACACCACCCGTAAGGGATATGAAAAATCATTAAAAACTTTGTTTAAGCTAAAATTCTTTCACCACATAGAATTTCAACGACAAAGTTTAACCTCTCATATGTGAAGTCAGAACGGAATCTAGCAGATCCTATGACAAAACCCTTGGGAAGAAATATGATCTTAGAAACATCGAGGGGAATGGGACTTAAGCCACTGGCAAACAAACAAGTGATGGTAACCCAACCTTTGTGATTGGAGATCCCATGAATAAGGTTCATATGGATAAAAACAAGTCACTTGTTAGTTCTGATAGCACTAAATTTTTCTTTTGCAATAATCTAACATTATTACAACATATCACTGTCCACCAAGACTTGCGCACACAGCGCATTGACCCTTAGTGTAAGAGCAAAAGTTACACGCATTCAACCAAAGAACGCACTTATAAGAGCCACAAATGTCCAGAGAAAGGGGAGACTCTTCTACAAATATCATCCTTCCATTTCAAATGAGATGGTGCACACCTATATTTAAGAATCAAAACAATGAGAAAGACTGCTTCGATGAGCCCAAGTATGTTGAATTTAAGGAAAAGTTGTTTGCTTGCCTATTGTGCTAATTAATCAGTTACAAGATCAAACAAACGCGTAAGGGAGGAATAAGAATCACGAACAGAATTTGGAGATGAAATTTGCGTTGCTGGGAATTGGGGAAGAGGCCAAAGGGCATATTTGACAGCGACACCAGAAATCTCATGATCAAGGGTCTGCTTCTTTGCTGTGTGCATGCAACATTCTGAAACAGAAGTAATTATTAGAACTCCAAGCGTCAATAGTCCCAGCTAATCTTTATGTGATGTGTAACCGAGTTTGTCAATTTACGAGACTTAAAAACCCATGTTTTTTGCTACATGGTGATCATTTGAAACTGGTATCTCAGGTCATGTAATAATTTCTCCTGGCACAGCATATAAATTCAGTATCCTTGGTCCCCAGGAAGAATTATGGCTATTAGTTGAGGGCTTTCAATCAAAATGAAAATCATAACCTGAAAGACCTAAAACGAAAGGCTTCTTTGGTCAGTTGCAAATATTATCCTTAGATTAGCGTCTGACCAAGAACAAAGGTAACCAGACTTAATTCAAGGAAAAATATCGTGTTGACTAGAGACCGATCCACTGTCCATCCAAATATTGTTATTCCTCCTGGATTTGTCTGCAAATACATCACTGCATATTTGAAGAAAACAATAAGCATGAAATCCTCCTGGTGGACACAAAACAAGCTCACAGCTCTGGTTCATCAGAAAGAACAAGATTTCTCAACTTGAAAATAAATTCCAAAAGTAGTTATATACAAGTTGTGTGTGTGATTTAGCATGCTGCCATGATATATTAAATAAAGTCATGCATATATGAAACAGAAAATTCAGTACACTAATCTCACAAAATGAGAAAATTCACATTTGCAAAAATAGTGATTTATGTGGTAATTATTATGACGACAACGAAATGGCCTAGTAATAGTAATCCACATATGCAAATTGAACCTTTAGGCTTTCAATATTTTCTAGAGATGGCAAGTTTATTGCACATATGGGAGATGATTCTAAAAAAGCTAATTTGCTAATCTAATCAGATGTATCATAATAAATGTAGGCAGCCATTTTAAGCTAATATTGGTTCGTGAACACAAGAGATAATAATGCAAATGATTATCGATCAGATATAACCTTTAGAGAAAATTAGCAGAGATACGTTTTTCCTTCTCTTAGACAATGTTAGATACCTCTTTCACTGGACCAAATATTTTCAGTATGCCTTGATGTACAAGATAAACACAGCTTTCACAATATATTTAATCACAAAACTTAGTAAAACCAGAAAACTACACTCTAACATAAAATTTCCTTGGATCCAAGTTCTGATTTTAATTATCTGTCGTTGAAGTATTATCTCATCTCAATTTGGCCTTCCAAGGCAAGACTCCTATACCCTTCACAGCATTTAGTGTAACATTATCAGATTATTTTATGTCCCCGTGTAAGACGAAATTATAAGAAATTATAAGATAGAGCCACCAAGGAAGCATATATGATAATATGATGTTTTTATAAACGTTTTATTTTTTTATCACGAACGAGAAAAAAATGTAAAATTGATCTCTTTACAGACAGGAAATACATACCAAAAGCTTGTCTCTTGTGATGTGAAGACACATAAGAAGTCCATTGGGTATTAGAAAACATTCCAGCATAATCCATTGACTCTAGATCACTTTCAGAATAGTCTAAATGTATAGCATTCAAATGGTTTGCAGCCTCCAATGTCCCAGCACTAGCAGAGCTCCTCAATTGTGGTGCATCAGAAGATGTGCATGTTAGCATTGCATGCCACCTGCTTGCAAGGGAAACAATGCCTTGAGCTCTATGAGAAATTCTTGTTGCGGCATGCAAACAAATGATGATGCCCACCACCTGAACAAGTGTGGATACCTGAAAGAAAAAAGAACGAAAAAAAGAACAAAATGAATGGTAAAATGAAAGAAACTAGTTCATTGAATCTAAATGCATAAACACTTTGAACTTAGATCAGAACTTACAGCAAAGTCTCCACCATTAATGAATGTAAGCATCTCACCATAACCAGTGACCTGCAAAAGCGTCACAACCTGGCTAGCTGTGACAACCAAGAACTCCAGAAGCAGATAGATTCGGAACCTATGACTTATTTTGGAGAGATGATAACGCAACCGAATGTGCTCTTCCATAAAAACTAAAACATCACTTTCCCTTTGCAAGAGTTTCCCATAATCATCAAAATGGATCACTTGCAAACTGCAGACCAAGTGAAATAAAATGCAGGCTGACAGAGAAATTGTACTCATATAAGTCCAGGATATAATCAAAGCTGATAGAATAGCGAATGAAAGCAACCAGGACCCATGTTGAACATAGAAAATGCGAATGATTTCTCGAGCGGTCTTCAGAAGGAAACATGGCAAAACCCACAGAAAAAGCAAGCGCATAGATCCCTATTTACAGGAAAAGCAAAGTTTAATATGCATAAAATTTGACCCTACGAATTAATCAGAAATCGCATAGTATCACTTTGTAAGGTAGTTTCTACAGAAGATATCGTAGTAAACTAGCCTTGTGTTCTCCAATAAAATTGGAAGTTTCACTTGGGAAATCTATGTTAACATTTAATCAATCTTTCATCATAAAAATTCCAGAAGTAATCTATGTTGGCATTTAATGATCAATGATCTTTTATTATACAAATTCCTGAAGTGAAACTCTATTTTGATTGAAAAAAAACTATGAAACTGTGTAAGTCGTTCATTATCTATTCTAAAAAAATTAAAAATAAAATAAAATAAACATTTTAGATCTGCTTGATGAGGAATGGAAGAATAATAAGGAATAATAACATGTTTGTACAAACGAACAAGGAAGAACCGAAACAATACAAGATAACATTCAACGATTTGACTCCTTTCATTTTGAAAAGTTCTAAAATAAAGCAAATGCTCAATAATAATAATAATAATAATAGAACAAAGAGCAACAAATTCTGGTTTCGAGCAAAATCAATGACCACGCCAAATACAATAAAAAAAACAAAGTTTATCACCACAAACTCGTATCAAATAAACCATCAAGCACGCAAGTAAAGTAGAGGAGAAACAGAGCAATTATCGCTGGAGCTAGCAAAGAAAAAGGAAACCGACCGAAATCTGAGCGACATAGTCGCGGTGAAAGCAATGCATCTTTCCGGAGTAGCGGTCGACGAAGAGGAACCTGCGGAGACCGTACTTGCGGAGGTTGTGAGAGAGACAGATCAAGGATACGGCGGCGAGAGTCGCCTGAAACGCCACGATCACCATTTCAAAGCTCTGAATCTCATACCTATCGCACTCCACGCACTTACACATGGACAGCGCCACAAGTGGCGCCGCCACTCCAACCGCCGCAAACACGCTCCACGAAACCACCAAAGTCAACACCGAGTGCTGGTTGAACCCTAACAGCGTCAGAAACCACTCCAACCGCGCCAAGCTCTCCTCCACTTCACTCTCCTCCTCCACCTCATGGTCATCATCATTCTCTCTGTCATCGTCACCATCATCGTTCTCCTTATTATCATTACTATTGCTATTAGTATTGGTATCCCCATTTTGCTCTGCTTGTTGTTGATGTTGAATTGAAATTAGAAGCGGGGTTTGACTCTCAGAGGGTTCTTCTGTTTGTATTAGCAGATTAGTCATCTGTGTTCTGTTGCGGATCCTCTACCCCCTATAAGCGTATCTTAGTAGGGTAGGAGTGAGCTTCTTAAATTCACCTACCTACCTAATACCTTCTTCCTTCATTCTCAGCAAAGGAATCGCTTCGAGAACACACCTGCATACTCTGTTGCGTGGGATCAAATGCAATCTGCAAAGTCTACTGACGCGTGGCATCTTAAGGAAACTCTGAGCCGTTGGATGAAGCGAAGAAAGGTCTCCACCGGGAGAATCAGAGGAAACGGTGAATTGCCCGTGAGAGAGCGCATTTTTAAATTGCTGGTTTCTTAACAAGTTATCAAACTTGGGAAACAGGACTCAATTATTTCTTTATTTTTCATACCCCTCTTTTTAAGATTAATAATGCACCTGTCTACCTGTTTTTTTCTTTTTAAATTAAGAAACATTACTGAACAACTTAAATATATTTATCAAAATTTTATAATTTATTTAATACCTTATTATTTTTAAAATATCTTGGAACATATTTGTAAAATAAATAAAATTCTAAAAAGCATGATGAAGCTATATATTATTAGTGCTTCCTTAAAAATATATCATCCTTCTAAATAAAAAAGTTACGAAGAAAGAGGAGACAGTACATAAAATGAAGGGAAATAACCCAATCTTAATTTTCTTATCTAAGCGTCATGCGAAAATGGTGAAGAAAGACATAAATAAAACGCAAATTAGACCTTGCCAGCAAAATCAGGATTATTTTCTCCATCTATATTAATTAATCTGTAAAGGTGATAACGTTTCTTTTATAGTTAATTTCAATATGCATATGTTTGATATACTTTATCCCCTTCTAACTTGGAAGACATACGAAATGGATATTTATAAGACTAGAGAAGATTTAATAAATGATATATGTATTATTTTTATCAATATAAGGTTAAAATATAATTAGGTTTTATTAAATAGATTTTAAAAAAAATTGTCGATCTCTTTAAAAGGCCTTTTTCCTCGATCCTTTCTAAATTCTCATATTCATCTTTTATCAATTAGAATAAGTTCTTTTTTTATTTTATTTTTTTAAAAAAATTGATTTTTTTTTCTGTCGAGTTTGGAAAACTACATTTGATTCCATCCTTTTCTATTTTGGTTTCTAAATATTGGTGATTTTGTAGTAAAATCATATCACTCATTTGAGGTTATTATTATATAAATAGAATCACTTGACGAGTGAAATATGAGGAAGAAATTGTAGAGTTGTAGGTGTTCAACCTCAAGGTAAGAAAAGTTAGAAATAATGTTATGCTTAATAGCTCTGATAAACTGTTTAATTTTGCTATGTCAAATTTATTATTGTACAGAATGATGAATTGATTGTGTAATTTTATGAATCTTTGTATGTTGAGATTTCTTTATATCGTGATACTACAAAGTTTTTGTTTAAATGAGATTATTTGAGTTATAAATAATGTTTTAGTATAAAAAGAACAGGAGTAGACAACTTAATTGAAGTATCTTGATATAGAAAAATTAAGTTATATATTTATGTTGATGCACTGTTGGGCATCACACATCATGGGCTGGTTCGTAAATCTCAAGTTAGAGAGCTCTGATGGAGGTTGTGTCGGGTGCCATTCCTACACCATCGGGCGCCATTCCAATGTAGTTGGAACCCACTATACAATAAGCTCTAATGGTCTCAGCGCTGGGTTGTGTGATGAGACCACTCGACACCATCTTAACATAGAGCATCAAGGGTTGTTGGCGCTAGGTGCTTGGAACTGTCGATAGACACTAGGATTTTTGAAATTAGTGGCCATTAGAGTTGTTAGCATTGGGAGTCATGATGATGTCATTGGGTGCTACCCTGTTGTGTTCTTTACATTAATTTGATTATGTTATATGAGTTTTATTTTTTATTATAAGGGTTCTAAGTAAGAGATAGAAATCTCCAAGGCTAAGATGCAATTAATTGAGTAACGTATGAAGTGTATTGATGGAATGACTTGTATTAAAACTATAATGACTCAACGAAGTGTTTGACTCATATAGAGAAAAATACTTAGAGTGAGAATTGAAGGATGTCATTGCTGTGAGTTCAACTTTATGGTTAAACTTACATACATATGATTTACCCTATTTTACCATTTTGAATTAGGTAAGTATAATAGGTGCATGGTGCTAGAGTTTAATTAGTGCACTCCGACCTTAGACTCACTAAGCGCGAACTTCTCCTATTCACAAGACTTGACTTGAGCAACACTATACTTGAGAACTTCCTCACACAAAAACTATATTCTCAAATGGCATAGATGCTTTACTAAGAGTTTGAAAAGAGTATGTATAGCCCAGAGGTCAGAATTTAAAAAGACAGCTCTCAACTGCCAATGATAATCGATTACTGCAAGTGATAATTGATTATTCGTGTCCGTTATGGGGTTTTCAAAATGTGATAATCGATTATCCTGAGGAATAATCGATTATCTGTGAGACTTGGGCAATACTGATTCAGACTAGAATAATCGATTATTCCGAGCAATAATAAATTATTTGCGTGAACAATGGTTTTCCAACTAAGCTTGTGATAATCGATTATCTGCGCAAGCTTTCTAAAGACAGAAAAACTTCTAAGTGTTTACATCAACAAAATTATTCCTATTACAATTTATTCTACATAAATGCTTTTAATTAATTTACAACTAGAGTCTTTAAGTTCTTCATCTTGTAGCATCATCAAAACCATAACATCTTCAAGACACCAATGCTCCTCATTTGTAACACCCCATAGGTCTTCTTCAATTATCATGTTTGTGAAAGATTGAATATATGTGTTAAGCAAGCCTTTTTAGCCATGTTAAGGCTAACAGAACCAAAATTCCTCTCAATAGGAAGGAATTGACAACACAGAAACATATGCTCCTATAATAAGATTATAAGTCATTCACATACTCTTATCATTTGCAGCGTTCAAGAAAATCAAGCTTTATCAAATGGATGTCAATAATGCATTCTTAAACAGCAACAATAACGAAGAAGTGTACGTAGAGCCACCCCTAGGGTTTGAGTGCAAAGCTAATCCTACACACCTCTTCAGACTTAACAAAGCCTTATATGGACTAAAACAAGCTCTCAGAGCTTGGTATGAAAGGTTAAGTCTCTTCCTTATAAGGAATGGTTTCACAAGAGGTCAAGTAGACACCACGCTCTTCAGGAAGAATGTCAATCAAAGCTTCATAGTCATTTAGAAAGATGTTGATGACATTATCTTTGGTGCTACTGATGAAAAGTTATGCCAAGACTTCTAGAAAATGATGCAAGAAGAATTTGAGATGAGAATGATGGGCGAGCTAAAATTCTTTCTTGGACTACAAATCAAGTAGGAAGACGATGTAATTTATATAAATCAAACAAATTATATAAAGGAGTTGCTCAAAAAGTTTAAAATGGATGATGCCAAGGAGATGAAGACTCCAATGTATTCAACAACTAGCCTATGGCTAGATGAAAGCTCAACAAAAGTGGACAATACCCTTTATCGTCAAATGATACGTTCACTTTTGTAACTCACAGCATTTAGACCTGACATTATGTTCAATGTTTGTCTTTGTGCAAGATTTCAATATGATCCTAGAGAAACTCATCTCAGTGTTGTCAAACACATATTTCGTTGTCTAAAAGGAACAACATCTCTTGGTTTATGCTACAAGAAGAGTGAGAGTTTTGATCTTGAAGGATATTGTGATGTTGATTTTGCTAGAGACAACGTTGGAGGAAATATAGTATCATGGCTGAGCAAGAAGTAGAACACAATTGCATTATCAACTGCTGAAGTTGTATATGTGTTGGCTACACATTGCTGCTCTCAACTACTATAGATCAGGAATCAACTCGAAGACTACAATCACAATCAAGGTACAATTCCTATCTTTTATGATAATAATACTACAATTAGTTTGTGTAAAAATTCAACATTGCATTCACACGCTAAGCATATTAAGGTTAAGCATCACTTCATACATGATCATGTTAACAAGGGTACTGTGGACTTACAGTATGTAAACACAAAAGATAAGCTTGCTGACATCTTCACTAAGCCATTAGTTGAAGATAAACTTAACCGTCTAATAACCCTTATTGCTATGAGAAACGTTGAATGAATCTTTGATTCAAATATGTTAAAGTGTGTCATCTAGGGTTCACATAAGAGTCTAGAGAGTCAATCGTCTAAGACACATAGTCCAAAAGACGTCATTCTGTTTATCGTCTAAGACAAATCGTCTATAAGACAAACTGCATTCTTACATTAGGTGTGTCTATGTACTGAGCCCATCTCTAGAAGTTGCCTTAGACTTCCTCAGCCCAAACCCTCTCTCCTATCACCCATATCTTTTGCATGTTAATCAAGCCACCCTCCTATCTGTACAATCCCTATCTTCTCCTCGAAATTCTCCAAATCTCTGAAATTCATTGTTTCTCACTCTTATCCGCTGTTGATTAACACTCCTCTTAAAATCTTCTTAGTATTCAAAGAGATATAAATCTCTTTAGAATATTTCCGTACTAACCTCATTAAACGGACGAGACTGATCAATCGCCCATTACTAACTTTTTCTTCTATTTAAACGAGCTTCTCTTCTCATCTTCTCAACACATTGTCCTCAACCCTAATTCATATCTCACCATCATGCTCTCCACAACTCCTGAGTCACCCAATCTTCAATATTCCAAGCCAATGAAACCTTCTTCCAAACCTCCTGACCGTTATTGTCATCTAATCCGTTCACCCGAAGAAGATATACATGATAATCCAACTTCCTCTCCTACTCCTATTCTCAAAACTTATCTGCCTTTTGCACATAGTTCTTCCACCATACCTCCACCACCTCTTCCCACCTCACAACATCATTCTTTCTTTCCTCCCTTGCATCATGATCCGACCATTCTCTTCCAGGTCGCATTTTCATGTTACTCCTCAGGATTAATATGATTTAATGTTGACCAATCCCATTTGTCGGGTTGTGATGTCCTTTCTCTTCTACGTCTATTTTGATGTTTATCAAATAAGGGGGACAAAAAGAAGAAGAAAGCGTAGACACATCAGCATCTAAGAGCATGTACTTAAGGGGTGTCACCAGAAGTTAGGATAATTTAGAATTAGGGGGAGTTTCTCCAGATTCCGATTCTTAGAGTTCATCTTAGGAGTCCATGTTTACATTCTTGTAATATGTTTGTGAGTGTTTTATTCTAAATAAAATATTTGAATGTTGTTTATTTGTTTATTGCTTATTTATTTACCGCTTCATTCACTAGTACAAAAATATCGTATAACGTCGTTGTTTTTTGGCCTTTCACGTCGAATTTGAGG